CGCCGCGGCCAAGTTGCAATCGACCACGCCGGCGATGAACTTGCGCTGGAACAGGTCCGTTTTGCTGGATCCACCCGTTTTTTTGCTACAACCCCTTTCTTTTTTTGCTACCATCCCCTTTTGATTTTAATGAAATTTTTATTTTTTTTGCTGGACCGATGCCTCGTTTTTGCTGGAACCAGCTGGTGGATGTGCTGCAAGGTCGACACCTTGCCCGGAGGAAGCTGCCTCCAGCGGCGAGGAGGGGCACCAGCAGCTGCCGGCGGCGACTCGAACATGCTACAACCGGCAAATCATGAGCTACAACCAGCATTTATTCTTGCTACAACCAGTGTCTTTTTTTGCTGGAACCGGAAACAATTTTTGCTATCATCTGTTTTGATTTGCTAGATCAGACCAAGTTTTGCTACTACCGTATTTTAATTTTGCTGGAAGTAGCCTGGTTTTTTGCTACAACCGTCTTCTGATTTTGCAACGGCGCCCATTTTCTGCGACCGGCGACGGCGACGGTGGCCATTTTTGCTACAACCGTGTTAAATTTTTGCTACTACCGTCTGTGTTTTTGCTACATCCATTCATGAAGCTGTGGTGCTTTTTTACGACATTTTTGTTGCAACAACCTTGTTTTTTGCTACTACTGGAGACGTGTTTTGCTACATCCATTCACGAGGCCATGGTGCTTCAAGCGCGGCGGCGAGTTCCGGCGGCGTTTTTGCTACAACTGTCTGAATTTTTGCTACGTCCATTCACGGATCAGCTGCAACCGCGGCGAGTGTTGCATGTGCCAATGGCCGGCGGCGGCGGAGTTGCGACGGCTTTGTCGCCCAGTTGCGGCCGACGGCGGAGGTGGCTAGCTGCCATCCGTGGCGAGGTGGTGCGGCGAGGTGCAGGCTGTTGCGAGGTCAACGACCAGCGGGGGCGTCCCGCGGTGCGGTGCGGCGAGGGGGCGGCTGCGGTGGGGAGATTTTTCTCTAAGGAATCTCACGCAGATCTGACGGCCCTGGCTGGCGCATCGGACGGCTGGTGCTGGACCGGTCCAACGGTTGGGCCGGCGCACCGGCGCAGATCAGCGCCCCATTTATATTCATCTCTATAAACGCACACACGCACACCTTACTTTTATAAGTATCTCCGAAAGACTGAGCCAGCATATCATCTCTACCGTAGGTGCCTCGTCGTCGAGGGGAACATCTCCTCCCATTAAATACGCATCACTGGAAATCGTGAAATAAATTCAGAAATTAGTGCGAGCATCAGAATTTAAATCCTAACCATTCAAATACATGTTGGTTCGCGTGGACCCAGTCTTTTGTTACGTGCATAACAGACGGATGGTCACTTGGGTCGTGTCAGCGTCAGAGCAAGGTAGACTAATCAATGTCACCGTTTTGGTTTATGTCAGCATCAGCGTGCAGGAAGTCATATATAGGCAGAGCAATCAGCAATGGATTACTCGTTATTACTAGTACGTAATAACGTATCTTCTTCGTCGTAGATAGGGAGGGACGTGTCCCGTTTCGGTCCATCACGGCACCGCCGATGTCACCATGCGGGACAAACAGTAGGAAAAAAAACGACCATAGACGCAAGAAGAGCATGCACGGTGGCGCCGGTGTTTGCGGCCGCCGCCGGCGGCGGCGGACGCGGACCGGTACGCGCTGGTGACCTCCACCTTGCTTTTTTTTCTCCTGAAACTGGTTCATAAAGATCCCGATTCATTAAAAAGAGGGTTGAACGCTTAATTAACGGAAAATCGGGATAAAACCATCACAACAGCCCACATAGGGCAACACCGTCTGACTTGGCCACCCACACGAAGATACAACAATGCTGCATAGAGGAAACACAAACTTAAGGGCGTCACCAAGTGTTATCGTCATCACTCCTCCACGACCAGCGACTTCGACGTCACCATCGACTTCCACCAACGAAGTCCTCGTCGTCACAAACGCCGAAACTCATGCCGGCCTATGCCAAACAGTCGGCCACCGGCGCAGGCGCCAGACAACTCCGACTAAGAAGACCACCAAAACACAGGGAGAGATGAAGAGAGTTGGGGCCAACTAACACCTCCTCGAAGACCACCGGCCACTTGTCATCGTCGCCGCCTAGGAACCTCCCGGGCAGCTCCGACTCCGCGACGGCACAGCAAGACCCAGAAGAGACCTGTCAAGCATGCCGGGTAAGCACCGACAACCGAAGCACTGCCGCGACCCTGCACCGCTAGCCATCATCATCGTTGCCAAACTGGACGCCGCACCGCCACATTGCCGACCGGGCACCTGCCGACCGCAGAGTCATGAGTGTCTAGCACATGCAGAGCGCGAATGGGAACCAATGCTCTTCAAGGCGACACCCCAATGAGGGAAGCGACGATGCCGACGCCGTCGCCCAACCCGACCGGGCCTTAGGCTTTCACCTGAAGAGCTGGATCTTTAGCTAAGGCCCGCCTTGCTGGGTTTTTTCTATTGTTGTGTCACTGGATTTAAAAACGACGAGGTTTTGCCAATTTGTGATGGGTCCAAAATGGCAAAGTTTTGGTAAGATTTTGTCCTATTTTATATAAATAGATTGCATGTGGCCTTTCCATAAAAAAAGCTAAGTATATTGTTACGAGAAAAAAACAAACACAACATTAAAATGGGTGCTGCATATAGATCGGTTAACCGGAGAAAACCCATTTTTTGTCGATTCTATTCGCAACATTGGATTCTTGGCTTATCTTTTTCTTCCTCCCATTCGCATTGCCAGTTCAGTCGCGCCCCTTCTTCCTTCTCCTCATGCATCGCTGAGCCTCCCGCCGGATGCCGCTACTTTTGGACCATTGGAATTTGGGCTTATCTTTTTCTTCATCCCACCCGCGCTGGCATTTTTGGTGGAGTTTTCAGGTTGCGATCCCCTTCTTCCTTCTCCTCATGCATCACTGAGCCTCCCGCCGGACGCCGCTACTTTTGGAGCGTTGGAATTTGGGCTTATCTTTTCGGTGGAGTTTCCAGGTCGCAATTTCCCTTCTTCCTTCTCCTCATGCATTGTTGAGCCTCCCACCGGCCGCCGCTACTTGCGGGGGAGGGGGGGGGGGCTGCCGCCATGTGCCGCCTTTTTTGCCTCATCCTTCTTGAGCATCCGCGGCCCCAACCATCCAACTATACATGCTAGGATCTCTTCCTCCGACTCCCCCTCTCCCAGATAGTCAAGTTCCTTACTTGTCACTGTCTATGATGCCGCCGCCGCGTCGTCGACGGCTCCGGCTTGCTCTAGGCGGGACCTTGCCGCAGCCGGTCGCGGCGTTCCTGTCTCACCTGAGGGTCACACACTTGGGAGAATCGACCGAGGCAAAATTAAATCCTAATTTCCCGAGGAATAACCGCATCGCTCTTGCACCGGGCGATTTGGGCGCGCCGCTACCCTAGCCGCCGTCGAGTCCCAATCTAATCCCTCCTCTCCTCACGTCGCCGCCGGGCTAAGCCCGAGGGCAGATGGCGGTGGCGGGGGTTTCTGGGCGGGGTCCCTGGCGTGTGGAGGCGCGACTGGTCGAGTCCTGCGGCGCGGTGGCCGCCCTTGCTTCATGGCTACGGCGGGCGGCTTTGCGGCCGATCGGATCTCAGATCGATGGCGGCGGCAATGGAGAGCTTGGTGGATGGATCGGTTGTACATGTGATTTGGCTTCTGGTCAGATCTGATCTGGCCGGTGCGGCCTACTTCATGCGCGGCGGCGGTGGTTGGTGGCGGTCTCATGCACACGAGGCTAGATGGAGGTTCCTCGAGCAGATCTGGGTGAAAACCTTGCTCTTGGCTCGTTGCCAAGGCCGGCGATGGTGGCGTTTTCTGCGTCATCCCCTTCCTGAAGGCATCATGGTGCAAAAGCTCTAGACCCCTATCCGCCACCTCCAGGGGAAACCCTAGATCGGTTGATCGGATGATGGCATTGCTCTTGTGTCGTATCCCTCTTGGGGGCGTCATTCTTGGAGGTATGCATTGGCTCGAGGGACCAGTGGACGACATCTGTGGTGGGGCGGCGTTCCATGTGACGCATCGATGACGTGGAGTCTTGGTGGCGTGGCGCGGTAGGGCCTCGACGACGGGTGTGTGATGATGAACGCACGCGGGGAGAAGTTGTTGTCTGGGGCCGTGGTGGCGTCGACAGCAGGCCTGGCAAGGTCGATGCTCTGTATTTGCTCTGAAGATGGATCGATGGAAAACGGCGGCGACGACCTAAGTGCGTCATAGCGGTTTGTGCCTCAGACCTAGTATGTGGGTTGGTTGGAGTCTCCCGCTTCAGATGTTAAGCTTAGGTGAAAGGTTTGGGTATTCAGTTCACACTTTCTGCACCCCTTGATCAATGGATAGAAGTAGCGACAGATGTTGTCAAGATGGTGGCTTTAGGCATATTGATGTATTATTTTGTAAAGTCTTTACGAATAATTAATAAAGTGGCTACATGCATCTTCCAGATGCAGAGTCCGAGGACCATCCTCCTTTTCCTAAAAAAAGAAGCAAAAGCGAATAATGGTTAGCAAGACAAAGAATAGTTCTATGGACAGTTATTCCAGCTGACATTCTGAAGAAAGAGACAAACACTAGGTTAGCAGCCACTTTGCACCGGCAATCACGCCCAAATAATCTCAACCAAGTGCCTAACGATGTACTGGCACGATCATTAGTTCATTATTACGACTAGCTGAATCGCAAATACCATGTCGAACTAGTTGATTAACGGAATGTATAAAAGTACACTAACAACCTGTCGTGTTCTCTTGACCTACGAGGACGAAGACGAGGTCAGTGCATGCATCGACAATCGTACCACCATCAGCGTGCGTTACCTACCGTACAGTGCGTGCGTGCGTACTCACCGTCTACTCGGTCTCACTTGCACAACAGATTAGATTACCTGACCTGTATGCGCTAGCCAGCCGTGACTTCATCGCTCGAGCTCCCCATTTATGCAGGCCATGCCCATGCAGACCTGATCGGCATCCGACGACCCCGGACGGACCACCATGGCGGCGCCAGCGGTTGCATCGGTGGCTCTGCTCCTGCTCTCCTGTCTAGCGGCGGCGGCGGGAGACGACCGGGACGCGCTGCTGGCGTTCAAGGCCGGCGTGACGCAGGACCCGACGGGCGCGCTCCGGTCTTGGAGCAACGATAGGCGCTTCTGCCGGTGGGCCGGGGTGAACTGCAGCGCCGCGGGGCGCGTCACCACGCTGGACGTCGGCTCGCGCCGCCTCGCCGGCACGCTCTCCCCGGCCGTAGCGGACCTCGCGCACCTCGAGGTCCTCAACCTCACCGACAACGCATTCTCCGGCTCCATCCCGGCCAGCCTCGGCCGGCTCGGGCGCCTCCGGTGGCTCAGCCTCTGCGACAACGCCTTCACCGGCGAGATCCCCGCCGCGCTCCGCGGGCTCGGGAACCTCAGCACCGCGTACCTCAACGCCAACAACCTCACCGGCGCCGTCCCCGCCTGGCTCGGCGCCATGTCGTCGCTCACGGTGCTGAAGCTCAGCACGAACTCGCTCTCCGGCCGCATCCCGCCGTCGCTCGGCAACCTCAAGTCGATCCAGCGGCTCGAGCTCGCAGAGAACCTGCTCGAAGGCGAAATCCCTGAGGGCCTCGCACGCCTCCCGATGCTCCAGTCGTTCAGCGTGTACCAGAACCGCCTCTCCGGCGAGATCCCGCCCGGCTTCTTCAACCTGTCGTCTCTGTGGGGCCTCGCCCTCGCCAACAACGCGCTCCAAGGCGAGCTCCCGCGCGACGCGGGCGCACGCTGGCCGAACCTCGTGCACCTCTACCTCGGCGGCAACCGCCTCACCGGGCCCATCCCAGCGACGCTCGCCAACGCCACCCAGCTGCAGTTCCTCAGCCTGGCCAACAACAGCTTCACCGGCCGGGTGCCGCCGGAGATTGGCAAGCTCTGCCCGCAGTCGCTGCAGCTGTCCAATAACCAGCTCACGGCGACCGACGCTGGCGGCTGGGAGTTCCTGGACAACCTGACGAGCTGCGACGCCCTGACTGAAATATTCCTCGGCGGCAACAAGTTCTCCGGCGCCATGCCGAGCTCCATCGCGCGCCTCTCGATGCTCCAGGCGTTGAGTTTGTCGGGCAATCGCATCTCCGGCGTTATACCGCCGGGCATAGGCAACCTCGTCGGGCTACAGATGCTGGACCTCCGGCATAATCTCTTCGCCGGCGCGATCCCAGAGGGGATTGGCAAGCTGGAGAACCTCCAAGAGCTGCAGTTGCAGGGGAACGAGCTGACCGGGCCGGTGCCGTCCGCCATTGGCGACCTCACGCAGCTGCTTAGCCTCGACCTCAGCGATAACTCGTTGAACGGGTCGATTCCTCCCAGCCTCGGCAACCTGCGGCGCCTGATGCTGCTCAACCTCTCCGGCAATGGGCTCGCCGGCCATGTCCCGAAGGAACTGTTCGGCCTCTCGTCCTTGTCATCGGCGATGGACTTGTCGCGTAACCAGCTGGACGGCGTTCTCCCGCGAGAGGTAGGCCAGCTTGTGAAACTCACGTTCACGACGTTCGCCGGGAACCGTTTATCTGGCGACGTGCCGGCCGAGCTCGGGAGCTGCCAGAGCATGGAGTTCCTCGACCTGGACAGCAATCTCTTCACCGGAAGCATCCCGCCGTTGCTGAGCAAGTTGAAGGGGCTCAGGATGCTAAACCTGTCGAGCAACAGGTTATCCGGCGCCATCCCGCCGGAGCTCGGCCAGATGACGGGGCTGCAAAAACTGGACCTCTCGCGGAACGAACTGTCCGGCGGCGTGCCCGTGGGATTGGAGAACATAAGCTCCCTGGTCGTGTTCGACGTGTCCGGCAACAACCTCGCCGGCAACGTCCCACAGCGCGGCGTGTTCGCGAACGCGACCGGGTTCAAGATGGCCGGCAACAACGCGCTCTGCGGCGGCGCAACGCAGCTCAGGCTGCCGCCGTGCCGGACACTCGCGAATTCCACCACCAGAGGCTCTCACCTGTTCCTCAAGATCGCGCTGCCCGTCATAGGGGCCGCTCTGTGCATCGCCGTACTGCTCACGGTCCTCCTGTGGCGGCGCAAGAGGAAGTCGAGGACCACGAGCACGGCGGCCCGCAGCGTGCTCAACGGCAACTATTACCCGAGGGTGTCCTACGCCGAGCTTGCGAAAGCCACCGACGGTTTCGCGGAGGCGAACCTCGTCGGCGCAGGGAAGTACGGGTCCGTGTACCGCGGCAACCTGGCACTGAAGAGGAAAGGAAACCTGGCGCACGAGGCCATGCCCGTGGCGGTGAAGGTGCTCGACCTCGGGCAAGCCGGGGCGTGCAAGACGTTCCTGTCGGAGTGCGAGACCCTGCGGAGCGCGCGGCACCGGAACCTGATCGGCATCGTCACCTGCTGCGCCAGCGTGGACGCGGCCGGCGGCGAGTTCAGGGCCCTCGTGTTCGACTTCATGCCCAACACCAGCCTCGACCGGTGGCTGCACCCGGGGCCATCGGACGCGCGCAAGCGTGGCGGCCTGAGCCTGGTCCAGAGGCTGAGCATCGCCGTGGACATCGCCGACGCGCTCAGCTACCTCCACAACAGCTGCGACCCGCCGATCGTGCACTGCGACCTCAAGCCCGGCAACGTGCTCCTTGGCGACGACATGACGGCCCGCATCGGCGACTTCGGCCTCGCCAAGCTGCTGCTCCTCGACGCCGGAGGTGAAGGCACCGAGAGCACCATCGGCATCAGGGGCACCATCGGCTACGTCGCGCCGGGTACGTTTCTCTCCATCATGCTACTTTTCCACCATGGCATGTCAGGTGTCACGGTCACTTGTCTGAAGAAACTCTTGCGCATGCTGTGCCATTTGCAGAGTACGGCACGACGGGAAGCGTGTCCAGGGCGGGCGACGCGTACAGCTACGGGGTCACGCTCCTGGAGATGCTGGCCGGGAAGGCGCCGACGGACGGCGGGCTCGGGAACGGCACGACGCTGCCGGAGTTCGTGGCGGCGGCGTTCCCGGAGAGGATCGAGCAGGTGCTGGACCCGGCCCTGCTGCCGATGGAGGGGCTGGAGAGATCAGTCTCTGTTTCGGCTTCGATTTCGACCATGTCGACGGTGTCGACGTCGTATTCGGAGGACAGCGAGGTGCGCGTCACGGCGCGGGACTGCGTGGTCGCCGCCGTGAGGGTCGCGCTGAGCTGCTGCCGGCGGGCGCCGTACGAGAGGATGGGCATGAAGGAGGCCGCCGCCGAGATGCACCTCATCAGAGACGCCTGCCTTCGCGCTTGCGGTGCAAACAAGCCTGTGGTTTAGCGAGCGTGCTTCCTCTGACAGCCGGAGCAGTGAGTTCGATAGATACTTGATACTACTTTTTTTTTTGCGGGGAATATACTTGATACTACTTGATTAGTACTCCCTACTGTATAAAGTTAGTGCAATGTTGAGTCATTTATTTTGGAACGGAGATCCATCTCCGGTGCAGTCAAATCAACCTGCCCCACTGCTGTCCCAGCCATGCAGCGTATTCCCGAGCATGTGATTGTTTTGGTGTACGTATATGGAGATGTATTGCATCGGTTGTGGGCCAGCTGTCTATAGATTCTCCTGCCAACTAGTACTGCTAGGCTACTTTCTTTAGTCTCTTCCCGTGCGCAGCGACGTGCTATACCCGTGCTCGTTTATCCACAATACACGTTACGTTTGAGGTTAGAGGATGCCGGATAATTAATGACCCGTAGCTGTTTAACACAGATGTTAATTACGTCGCGGTACAAGCCAAGCCATTTTCCGTATATTCGCCATAAAGTTCTGTTGAGAAACACAGTAAAGTTCAGCGGGGCAGAGCGCACAGTACCCCTCCCTCCCCCCACACCTCCGCAGCTTTCCTCCCCTTTATCCATCTCCTCCGCCACTCAGCTCCTCCACCGCCGTGGCGCCGATTCAGAGACACTGCCGACGGCGGTGTGGCAGATCGAACTGGGGCAAGTCGATCCGGCAAAGCATATAGGTAACAAATCAACAGAACTCGTCAAACCCGTACCAGATCGGAAATATCCATCTCGATACTGAACTATATTCATCTCATATTCCCCAATTCTTTGCTGAGCTATGCTAAAAAAACGGGGGCGGAGGACGCGGCCACCTGGTTGGCGTCAACGGCGAGCGTCCGACAGGCCGTCAGTCTCATTCAGTTTTCTGTCGCCCCGCCCTAGATGAAGGTCAGGGGAATTACTTATACACCACCACTTACTGCTCTTTTTGTGATTGATTATTTTACTTCAGTTTCATGGAAACCACTTTCTGATTGTCATTATAGTTCGTATACGAGCCACTTAAGATGATGTACTCCCCATATGTGATTCTAGTACAAATGTTCAGCAGCGCTGCCTCGAATTTTTTTAACTTGATATACTAATTTGTTTAAGCGAAAACACTTTCAAAAATTGGGGAGTATACACACACTACCCGTGGAAACCGTTTTTGGGTCCGCAGGAGAAGAATCGTGTAATAGATGGGTTGGAAAGTCATTGTAATATGTTGTTATCGTCAGTCTAAAATGCAGAGTTCTGGATAAAATCCACAACGATGTGAATTTGGGCATAGTTTTTTCAAACACCTATAGGCCATAACGGATTGCACCAAATGGTTAAAGCTTTAATTTACTAAATCTTACAGTCCGCTAAATTCAGTTTTCTTGACTGCCCAAAAGCATAAAGCTTGCAGATTAGGACGTCCCATACATATAAAAGTTCAAACTGCAGCTTCGATTCTCGACCAAACAAGCGCAGATAGTTTGCTAGAGCAATAATCATCACGCATCCTCCTTGTTCCTAACAAGGCACTTCTTGTATCTCTCAGGCAAGTGTCCAATGTTCCCCTCCAGTCCAAGCACATCTACCAGTATGTTCATCCTGGAATGGAGCACCCCGTCGTGTTGCTGTATAGGAACAAATCATGAACTATCAGTTCATAATCACAGTGTTTCAGCAATATAAAAATAAAACAATTGTCACAGCTTCGTCCGAACCGGGTTCAGGTCCCTCTTGAATTTGCTTCCCATCCAATTCCGTCCATAGTGCAGTGCATATACCCCGCTGTCTGGCCTGCGAAAGGTCGGATAAAATGTAAACACATGTGCTTAAGACCCCCCCTCACAACATCATTGCGATTAGTTTTGAGTTGTCGACATTACCCGCTGCATAGACCAACGTTTATCCCTTTCGGGAACACTGTATTCCATCTCGTCATGTCAGGAGCCCAACCTTGAAAAAATGCTTGAATGCACCTTTGCAATGCTTCATGAAGATTGTCTGCAACCTTTCTGTGCCTACTCTGGATGACTTTGTCAGACTCGTCTCCGTTGTTAATTGTTGGGTCAAGAACGATTATCCTCCTCTTTACAAAATCCCAAATGTAGGTCGACCATGTGAAGTTGAACTTGACGTTGAGTAAGAACTAGAGAATAAATCAAACATGTATGTGCATCAAAATACCCGTCCTATATATAGAAAAATCTAGGCATGATATCTAGGCATGAAAAATCTAGACAGAATTACCTCAGTGCATCTGTGCACGTCATACTTGATATGTTCCCCAATAAACATGTCCTGCACATACCTCACAATCACGTCTCCTCTGCTCACATGGTTCTGTCAAATCAAACAACGAATCATTAGGCAGAGCTGCTTGATCATATCAAAAATACATATTACTTAAGCATAAAATGCGGTCCTCACCACAAAGTCTGGCTCGAGCCAATGTCGCCAGCACCCTTCATCTTTATCCAATGCAAAAGTGTAGTCAATCTGCTGATATCTTCTAACTGCTATTGTCATCAAATCATTATCTATCACACCCCCTTCCGAAAGGTTCGTCCTGATTCGCTCGGTAGAGAGCTCGATGTATTTTGGCTGAGTGCTTATAACCCAATTGCTGCAAATGTAAAAACACACGATAATGTGAGAATCGCTTGTGACAAGCACCCCAGAAAAAGATTGAAATCTATGGAAATATTGCTGGATGCCGCATAAATAGTACATACTCTTTCCTTGCAGATGCGGGCTCCTTCATAAACATCTTGAAGACCTTTTCAACATTAGCTGGTGCTCTTAGGGGAGGATCGTACCCCAGAACAAAAGGGGACCGTGCAGCCTTGCCTGGCTTAACTGTTCTTTTTCGTTGTGGCTGTGTACTGAGGCCATCTTGTGTCTGTGGAACGTTCAGGTTGATTGCTGCCTCCTCCATCTCCTCACGTACGTCCAACTCTTGTGCCGCGATCTCCCTGTTCAGGCTAACAGGTGTTGTTCCCGCTGCCTTATTCGGCTCTATCGCCCTGTGCACAGGAGTGCATATTATGTCAAGCCCTGAGCCTGCAATGCACATTTTCCCAACATCAGCATGATCCAAATACAGCATCGCACAGTGTGTTAGTGTTATTCATTACATGTTCTATCACCTTGGAGTTCATTTTTCCCATATGTTGATACAGGTGTTGTGTTAGCTGATGGCACGGAGCTCGTACCTGCAACTATTGACAAAGCATGTTAGGTACAGGAATATTGAAAGATGACTGGCGAAGTATGGTACATCCCATGGGACAAAATCAATTTACCTTCTGGTGTCACCGCTCTACTGAAATCATCCATCAGGTCTTTGCTCCTAAAACCTGTGAAATCTATTTTGAATCTGCTTGGACCGGCCTGGGCAGTGTGATGCTGAATGTGGAACGGTTGTTGAGTTTTAGCCACAGCTGACAATTCCCTTCCCGGTGATAGGACTGGCCCAGCATTGTCTATTCCGAGGTCATATGAGGGAACCTCTGTGTTAAGCGCTGCATTAGGGCCATATACCCATTGCCTACCATCTGCTGCTTTGGCCTGGATTGGCATTTGTTCATGCACCACAGTGTCATTTGTTACTTCATTGTCTTGGTCTGCTGCCGCGACCAGTCCTTCCAGATTCTTAATCGCCGGGTCAGGATCCTCCTCTGTCTCTTCGACCCTTGCTCTTTTCGGGGAACCACCCCGTTGACTGTCATTTGACCTATGGATAGGATTACCATCATCTACATTCCGTTTATCTGTATTCACAGGACAAATGGCCGAACGTGGTGAAAATGGCGACTCTTCTCCGGACTCTTCAGGTGAGACATCATCATCTGTATCGTCAATACAAAGGTATCAATTACAAGCACAACATATGATTCATCAAGTCCTGGTCCATTTAATTTTGGTCATATTCATAGCATAACTCGTTTACCTTGGTAGTCTTGTTCCCTTGGCCTTTTGTTGTTCTGCCTTACAGTTTCTGATATTTCATCAATATCTGCGAGCATCTTAGAGGTCTCTTCTTCAATGAAAATGTCAGTCTCCCTCACAACACCATCCCACCCATCCGCGTGCTTTTTGTTTATCTTGGCCCCTTTCTTAGACGCCGCTTGCAACGCTGCTCGGCATCTAGATGAATATTGGCCCACTTTTTCCACAAGTATAGTAACAATCTGATATTACACAAAACGGAAATCAGCACTGAATGTACATCATGCAGCATTCTGAACACACTAGCACGTAGGTCAATATGTATATTGCGATAACTTTAGTACCTCCTCGATCATCGGTGCTCTTTGATATCTGCTTGACCCGGCTCCGATATCAGCAATCTTGCCAATGAAGGACATTGAAGCTCTGTTCCTGCTATAGCACACTGTGTGCGCCGGCCTCGGCTGAACAACAAATATTCACTGCAAGTTAGTCGCAAACATAATGCAAAGATAACATCTGAAAAACAACCAAAATGAGTAGGGTCAACGTTTAGGACTGTACCAGAAGTAGTCCGTATATAACAATATCTGCGTTCTTTCCTGCGCTTGTGTCCTTTTCAATAACCATGCTAATCTTTTTCTGATCATAGACCTTGCATCTTGGGAAGACGTCGTGTGGTAGGTTCTCGTCCTCAAGATCAAGATTGTCCAGATAGAACACCTGTGGCATTATTTATCTACAATATTAGTCATCACATATGCATCTTCGTATGCACAAGACTCAAACCAGCTTAGTTTACCCATACCTGAATGAAGAAAGTGCAACCAGAGATGTTTGATTTAACTTTGCCCCCAAGGAGCTTTGACTTGACCCTCCCAGCTGATAGAAGCACTTCCTCCCGGACATACTTACCCCAGTTGTACATGTGTATGAGATCAGGGGTGTGCAGACCTCCCCAGTATTCTGTCAGGAAGTAGTTGTGCTTCAACGGTGGCGCGAGAACATATGTAACTGCACATACAACATAGGCAACCTTGAAAGCATCAGATTCTG